AATATGGGATATGAAATATATATATGTATATATATATATATATATATATATATATATATATATATATATCAATTACATTTGTGTTAAGCTCTTTGACTAAGCTTAACGATAACATAAATTATCAAGAAACGTAGTGAGCATAACCCTTTAAAATATAGATAACGAATAGTGTTATGTAATCACGGAATTTACATTCTATTCTTCAGAATATTAATTTGTATTACTTACGCTTACTTAAATTTGTGTGTGGTGAGATTTCATATAAACTTAGCCTACATCAGATCAATATAAATCGAATCTTTTGACTGTGATTAAAGTTTATTATTATGCTATTATTATAATATACAGTTAATAACGAAATATTCCAGAAGCCGTTCTTCTGGAAGCTGTTAAGAAAAACCAACGGATCCTCGTGGAAAACAGATAGTCTGCTCTGCTTTTCCTCCTAAATTGTAATCTTTATTAATTCATTACCCAGGGCTCCCCATATGACCCTTCTCCAGGCATGACTGGCTCTATAGGCTATCATCCGTACGCCGGTCCCCTGGGCCCGTACCCGTTTGGAGACCCGGCTTACCGGAAGAACGCCACACGAGATGCCACCAGCACCCTGAAGGCCTGGCTCAGCGAACACCGGAAAAACCCTTACCCCACCAAAGGAGAAAAAATCATGCTGGCCATCATCACCAAGATGACCCTCACCCAGGTGTCCACCTGGTTCGCCAACGCCCGCAGAAGACTGAAAAAAGATAACAAAATGACTTGGACGTCACGGAACCGCAGCGAGGATGAAGATGAGGAGGACAGCATTGATTTAGAGAAAAACGATGAGGACGACGAGCCGCTCAAAACAGCCGAAACAACACAAACGACCAGAGATTTAGGTGCTCATTCTTTCCCTTGTTATGTCATGGATGCGCGTGGTTGCATTGATATTGTATTTCTTATATTTTATTCAAATTTTTATTTTAAATAAATATATTATGTTTGAACAAATGTTCATTACAAATAACGTATAGCCTATCATATGGCAAAAGGGTGAAATCTTTTGTAGTTTAACCATCGAGTACCTAATGCAATAGCATTATTGCACAATGCACTGCACACAACTTATTATTTTCAATAATAATAATAATAATAATAATAGCATAAGGACTCGATGAATATTAATACGCTTTCAAAGGGTTTAGATCCTTTTCATGAAAAAAAATATAAAAAATCTTTTTTTTTTTTTGAAACAAACACATATTTAAATAATGATCTTGACACCCCGTCATGAGGGTCTATAGAGGTCCTCTGTAAAATATAATTTACTGTTTTATGTTTTTCATGTCACATGATAACAAAATAACCCCGGTGTGTTGACCACATTGCCTTTGATTTAGAGGACACACGTTTAATAACAAAACATCAACAATATTTTAAAAGGAAAGGAGGAAAATAATTTGCAGCCTTTTAACTAGACATTTTTTTTTCACCTGACAAGTTTTACAAACAAGTTCCCACAATCCTTTAACCTCTCACATTTATTCTAGCTATTGTCTTTTTTGATAGATTTAGAGAAAAAGAGCGTCCTTGTTACGAAGTAGCTAGCCTATTTATATAGCCTATATATATTATATAATCTTTATGCTAATTTACAAATATTGTAGGTCTATATTCCATGCTGTTTGTCTGTTTCTAACAGGCATTTCTAACACTAATAAGCCTATTATCATTTGATCGCAGTTGTCGATGACTGCACGGAAAGCCGCACGGAAGATCAGGACGCGACGGATAGTGGCATCATCGACGGTGGAGAAGAAGAGGGGCATCGGACAGAGTCTCCGGTGCCCACGACCTCCTCTCCCCGAGACGAGCCCAGCGAAACCGAGAAGCCCCGGCTCCGTGAGAACTGCAAACCCTCATCTGTCATTCATTCCGCAAACCCGACCCCCAAACCCAAACTCTGGTCTCTGGCCGAAATTGCTACGTCGGATAAGAGGAGTGAAGAAGCGTCACAGCCATCATCAGGGGCGTTATCGCCCGCCGGGTCACCAGCGCAGTGCCCCTTTCCCCCCAGACACTTATACTACGCGTCTCCTTTCTACGCGGGTTTCACGAACTACGGCGCTTTCGGAAACCTGAACGGTTCGAACCCGGCGCATCTGAGCGGAATTAATCAGGCGGTGTTACACCGAGCGAGAGACAGCAGACTGACTCTGGAGATGTGCAAAGAACTCACCTTCGAGCACAAGAGGGCGAATGTTTAGCGTTTCTATTTATTGACATGTAGGACGAATAGCAAATCAAAAGCGTTCTTTCTGAACTTTCCACTAAGCATAAAACTTTTTTTTTTATTTAAAAAAGAACATTCTTTTCTTAACATATCTATCGTTTATTGTGAGATATTTGTGCAAGAGGCCAAAGCACTAATTAATTTTTTTTTGTTTTTTTTTTGTAAAGCCTATAAGCTGTTAAGATTAGCCTATTTCAATTGTCCTTGTTTTAACGAATCTTCACTCATATTGATCATCTGTGCCATTTTTTGCTGTCTATTTTGGATTTTCAAACAAATTTGGCAATGCATATTCTAGAATCAGTGCTTTTGTTTGTGGATAGTAAATTATGCACATGTTAAACTTAAAAAAAAAAAAACATAAATCACACCCATTTTATTAAGAAATGTTGAAATAGATATGTGAGAGCTGAGAGTGTTATGTGCTTGAAGAGGAACTATATTAGGGATGGCATCAGGTCCAGTATCAAGAAATTCTCTCCCTGGTCTGAAGACATCAGTCAAGAAAATTTAGTATCTGCAATGTTATCACATCCAAGTATTTTGACCCATTATGGATTATTCTATCATCTGTTCTTTGCAGAATGGTGTGCAGTGCCTTCCTGATTTGCTCTCAACTGTGCTACACCTACATGGACTCAAAGAACACACTCAATAACTGTAACACTCGCCTCCTGGGCATAATACGGTGGATAAATTGTACATTTAAATAGCACAAGTCAACATTTATTGCAGGGGGATTATGGGACAGTACTCTTAAGTGGAGGAGATATTAAATTTATGCTCCATAAAGCATCTTCTCATGAAATGTGTGTTGCCTTTTTCCTGTGATGCGGAAACAGCGAGGGGCTAAAAATGTTCAAAGAGCATTTTAAAAGGTATTAAAT